TTTTTTTTTTTTTTAAGTGTGTTTTTCCAGGACCCATCAGTTCTAAGCCAAGTAGTTGTTTCAATCTAGTTGTGGAGGGCGCTGCTCACAGTGGCCCATGCGGGGATCAAATTGACAACCTTGGTGTTATAAGCACTGTGCTCTAACCAACTGAGCTAACCAGCCGTTCCCCTGACTTCCATTTTTTAATGTGGCAAACATCACTTTATTTTAAGGTGATCTCTATTGTAAAGATTTTCAGATTCTCAATAGGAGGCCTCAGATGCCCTGAAAGACAGAAAGCTGCTGGTCCATTATTGACGACTAGCAAGCACACGGCTGAGTGAGAAGCTGTGAAGAGCACAGACTTTGTTCTTGAATCCCAGCTGTCTGGCTTTGGCACCTTGTGTAACCACTTAGAACCTCAGTGTCCTCTTCTGTTAAATGAAAGTACTAAGAGTACCCTCCCCTTAGAATAGTTGTGTGATTAAATGGGTAGGGTGGTTCTGGTTTGGGCACTGAGAGTCCCATGTCCTGGGAAATCCTCCCATTCTGGGCCACCAGGATGGTTAGTCACCCTACCATTGATCCTGGCATGTAGGAGTCCCCCACATATTTGCTGCTAGGATGTTGTCTACGAACCTCTGCTGGGTACACATGGTCATCCACCGTGTGCTCTGAACCCCACTCGTTCACTGCTCCCCAGTGGAAGTGGAACTGCTTCAGTCGGTAGTGGTTCTCCAAGGGGCCACCACTAATTCCTGGAAAGGGAAACCAGTGAAACTTGTGTAGGAGCTTGTCTATTAGTTCGACTGGGGTGTTGCTGTGACATGGTCTACACTGCGGCCTCATTTCACTCTTGAGAGATTGATGTCATGTTGAAATAATAAACTGGAAGGTGGGCCCTGTGAGAGGAGGGTCTCCTCTGTCTATTCACCTCTGTCCCTGTCACCTGGCCCTGGGCCAGCCCGCCTCATACTCACCGTGTCTGCCTGAGTGAATGCAGATTCTAGTGCTGCCACCAGGTGGTGGTAGGGGCCTCAACCCCAGCCTGCAGCAATGAGGCAAAGAAAAACCGTTTCTGAGATGCATGCCCGTGCTGTTAAGATTTTCAAACTTCCTTAATTTTTTGTTTTAAAAATGCCTTTCAAATGAAAAAAAAATACAGCTTAAATCCTATCACCAAATGATTTCGTAAACTAATATGTAAAGAGCCAGATTTTAAAATAAATTCTGAGATACCGCATCCTACCTTTTCCACCAGCGCTCGACTCTTTGCAGCCCCTGCTCAGTCCATCCTACTCTATGACCAGGTTTTATTGAAACACTCTTTTCTAAGTCACCCTACATACTAGAGTGGCCTCCCCAAAAGCTGTTAGCTTGACGCACACAGGCTCAGATGTGAGCAATCTGGCTCTCAACTGCAGAACTGTGGGCACCATTCAGAGGTCCAGGATTAAGGCTGGGACTCTGCATTTTAACTACCCCCCCCCCGCAGTGGCTTTGATGCACATGGCTTAGCCTATCTCCAGCTGCATGCACTTTGCTAACAGATTTTCATGAACAACTGCTACAAATATAACGACGCCTGTTGGACATCTCACTTTGAATGGAAGTGAGCATGTGCTACTGGGATGAACCAGAGCAAGTCTGGAAGACAGGGCAGAGGAATGGAGTGAATCTCAGGGTGGCCTTGCTTGCATCAACTCCTCTATGTGTCACATACTACTGGCTAGTGGCGTTTTCTGTTTGGTGTTTACCATAAAAAGTATTTGTGGCAGAAAGCACTGAACTATAAGTGAGAAAACAGGTTCAGCTCATGATTCTGCTCTCGGTCAGGTCGGAAAGCCTATCACCGCCTTTCTTCACTTGAAATGAGGGTGTCGGTCTAAGATCATTGGGGCCTCATTAGTCATCAAGTTCTATGGTTTTACGAGGTAGTCTTCTATTCTTNCAGAGGGGGTGATCTGGTCTCAGTCCCACGAAGCCCGCCTGGAGGTCAACATCAAGGGGATGCACTACACAGATCAAACAGCCCCCGTGAACCGGCAGAGGAAGGGCTGGCCCCCGGCTTCCCTTTGGAGCCGCGCTTGTCATTGTTAAGACAGGTGGGAGCCCCATCCGTCCCCGTTTTCAAGGACCATGGTGACTCCTTCTGTCTCAGAATGCCTTTGTTTGGTACCGAACAAATAAACTGCATTTCTTTGGAATTTCCACTTCTCCATCAAAGTCCTTTCTCAGTTGTTGTTGGAGAAAAGCTATATTGTTGTCCTTGTTATCTTTTTGAGCTGTGCATACCGCAGCAAGGTGTCCAAAGGGAACTGGGCGAAGGTCTGCTTTCCCATCCATGAGTGGTGGGTTTGCAGGACTTGCCCTCTTTCCGTGGTCTCCATGTTCTCAGGGATGGGTGGCCTTGAGTCCCCACCAGAGTGTGCCAGGTGGCACTCGGATGGGGACTCTTAAATGTTAATAATTAGGTATCTATTTCAATCAGTTTTAAAACAAACTAAGGGATGTTGTTGCTGGGACAGGCTAAAGATTTTAAAAAGCTGATCAATTTAAGAAAAAAACCCAATTAAGTAACTAAATAGGACCGGTGCAGGCAGACATGGAAAAAAATCTTCAAGGTGCAGCCTGAACGACTGAAGTTTGGGAAACTCAAATCAAGTCCAGCACCTCAACTATACTGAGAAGGGAGGTGTCCCAAGGATAGCAGTAACACAGTGACATCAGCGAGCCAGCTAGCTGACACAACTGGAGTTAGCCCCAGCGAGTTCCATTTCCAGAACCTCCCTGCACCGCTTTTTCCCACCAAGCGTTTCTTTCCCCCCCTTGCAAATGAGTCATTACTCCAAACAATTTTGCCTTTCCAATTATGCTGATTTTGATATATGTGGCTTACCTTGTGTTTTATTTCCGGCAAGACTTCCACCAATTTCTGCAGTGCCTCATGATGGGACCCCAGCTGCATTTGAAAAGCAGAGGACAAACACACGTCATTCTACATAAGACTGTGTTCAAACAGCAGCTCCTAGTTACCGCGCACTGCTTTCTTTGTTAGGAGAGCTATATAGGCCCTGGCAAGAGATTACCTTTAAAAACACGCCTATCACAGCCAAGCCGTTCTCTCCCAATACAGCGTCTTTGTAATTTCGGTATTTCACAGAATTCCAGTGAACTAAATGCAGCTGAAACACAGGAGAAAGAGCATTGACACTTATCACGATGCAGTAAAAAATAAAACAGTCACTCCCCCGTCCCGCGTGGCAGACCTGTATGTCCCTTTAACGATTTTAATGCTTTCAGTGGGTGCAGCCCGACTTGAGGCTCCCAAGTGCTTGATAAAACCACAGAGGGTAAGAGCCTCAGCTTTTCTGATGGAAGAGAAAGAGGCTTGTTTTAACTTTATAAAATAGAAGTGGATGGTTGGATTATTGGCTATTTTTCAGATATCCTTGAGTGTGGGTTGCCACATCAAACATAGGACTCTCAATTACATTTGCATTTCAGGTAAACAATAAATAATTTCTTATG